TAAAATACAAAAAGGGGCGTGGTGGCACACACCTGCAGTCCCAGCTATTCAGGAGACTGAAGCAGGAGAAGAGCTTGAACCCTGAAGGTGGAGGTTGCAGTGAGCTGAGATAGCGCCACTGTACTCCAGCCTGACTGACAGAGTGACACTCCTGAGTAAACAACAACAACAAAACAGAGGTCCCCCTGTTTAGCAAACAACACAGAGCAGGACCAGGGATGCCTAACATGGCAGGTGGCCATGGGAGACACTGCCAACCAGTCATGGTGCCCAGTCCCTCTGAGCTCAGACAGAACTCCATTATCCTTGCCAAAGGATCATCTTTACTCAAACAGCCAGAGATTCGGAACCTCCAGTGTATGTTGGGTTGACATCCAGGGACTTACATGAACAGGATCCAAGTGCACTTACACCAACAGAGCCTTGTCATGTCGTATAGGGTGGCTAGGAAAGGTGTGAGAGGGAGGCGGAAAAGGACTCATGGGGAACAGATGCGGACTCTGCAGCTCTTCCCGTTCTCTGAGGGATGTTCATTCATTTCACGACATGCCTACCTACTGTACACAGGCGCTGGGGACTGAGCATGAGCTAGCGGTATGTATTCAAAAGACAGATGAGGTTCCGACGCTTACGGGCAGAGGCAGTCATAAACCAATGAAAAAAACATTGTGAATCTGATCAAAATCGCGTAATTACAACGACAAAAAAGAACTACAGCGACAAGTCTGGGTAAATCTTGGCTGGTAGCTTTGGGGTTTGTAGACAACCAGAGTGGGATCTTAAAGAAGAGTCTGGCTCAAGAGTGAGACAATTCCCAAAAGAATGAATGTAGCAGTAACACAGTCAGAAGGCCCTCGGGGAGGCAGGTGGCTTTTTGTTCCTGCCAACACACTCTCTCCACTTCTGGTAACAGACCTGCCATGCCATGGGAAGGTGGCCAAATATGGCCGCCCACAGTACTTGTTCCTCTGCTACAGTAATTGGTACATAGTCATGTGACTAAGCACGACCAATCACAGCAGCCCACTTCTGAGCCGGGACACAGTGATTGTTCCAGCTGTGGTCATGTGACCAAGCAGGGCAAATTCAGGATTGTCTGCAGAGCTTGTAGGGAGGGTGTTTCTTTTTCTCTCTCCTCCTCTTTGGCATCCAGGCCTTAAAGAGGTGGACCTGGAACTACCAGTGGCCTCAGACAATAAGGCCAATAAGCAGAGAAAAGGAGAAATGAGAGATGAAGTGAGGGGGAATAAGGCAGGAAGAGAACCCAGAGCTTCCAGTCCCTGGATCCCAGAGAGCAACACACAGCCTCTTCCCTGTCCTCATCGTAGCTACACGGTGAATAAAATACCTCATTCCACCTTATTCAGATCAACTTCAGCATCTGTTGTTTGCAACCCACGGTGTCCCGATTCAGGACTTGGGGACTGTTTTCCTTTCCGTGAATTGCGCAGAAGTGAAAAAGACAGGTCATTCTCAGAACTCTTACTCTCCTCCCGATGTGCCGGCTGTACTTAAAAGAATCCCAGACCCATATCCATGTTCACCACTGGCCCTCCTACTAATTTCCAGCTGAATTGAAACTCAACGGATGTGCTAGGATTTCAAGTCCTGCTCTAATCAATTCACTTCCACCTCCCCCACCTTAACCCCAACCCACGCGCACTTTCCCACTCTAGCCCGCGCGTGCAGCCTGCCCTGGCCTCTGCTGTGACGCCTACATTTTATTTGTAATGATTTGTTTATGACTGTCCCCCAACTAGGGGAGACATCGAGCTTGAGGATGAGGCCTCATTCATCTCTGTACCCCAGGCCCTGGTACACACCAGGCAGGTCGAAAGTATCGGAGGGAGGCAGGGGAGGAAGAAGGAGAAAAGGGGAGTTCTTTGTTATTATTTCTGGTCCAACCAGTGTGTCACTCATAGGCTCAAGTTCTGTATTCGTTCCCTCTGCCTGTTTTCGTTTTCCTTTTTCTTTTTTTTTTTTTTGAGACGGAGTTTCGCTCTTGTCGTCCAGGCTGGAGTACAATGGTGCAATCTCAGCTCACTGCAACCCATCTCCTGGGTTCAAGCAATTCTCCTACCTCAGCATCCCAAGTAGCTGGGATTACAGGCATGCGCCACCACACCCAGCTAACTTCGTACCTTTTTCTTTTCTTTTTTAATAGAGGCGGGTTTCACCATGTTGATCAGTCTGGTCTCGAACTCCTGACTTCAAGTAATCCACCTGCCTTGGCCTCCCAAAAGTGCTGGGATTACAGGCATGAGCCACCATGACCAGCCCCTATTTTCCTTTTTCTACCTGTCTTCGCTCAGGTAGACACACCCCTCACCTTCAAGCCTCTATTCCAGTACCCCTTCCTGCAAACCCCCGTCCCTCCTTCCTGGTTTCTCACACTCTCTAGCACCTTCTACCCCCATCTACCCTCCTCTGTGTTCCATCTACGTTGTTTACTTTTATGTCACTGAAATGTCAGCCCCAGGCGGGCAAGCATCTTGTGCTGGCTGTATCCTCAGCACCTAGAACTGTGCCTGTCACCTAACAGATGCTCAATAAATATGTCGAATAGATTCTTTGTGTTTGCCAACAAACACAGGTCTACCAAACTTCTTTTCTCAAGTGCCTGTGCAGTTCATTCTTCTTCTAATAGGTATAAGGAAACTATAGTTGCATCTTTTTCCTGGGGCTGCTATAACAAATTATCACAGACCACAGGGCTTCACACAACAGATTTATTTAAAAGTTCTGGTGGCCAGAAGTTGGAAATCTAGCAGGCTGGACTCCCTCCAGGCACGCTAGGGAATATGTCTTGTCTCTTCCACCTTCTGGTGGCTCTGGCATTCCTTGGCTTGTGGCTGCATCACTCTAGTCTCTGCCTCTGTTTTCTCACCTTCCTCTTCTCTCTGTCCTGGTCTCTGCTTCTCTCTTATAAGGATACATGGATTTCATTTCGTTCCTATCTGGATAATCCAGAACAAATGCCTCCTCTCAAGATCCCTAATCAGTCTTTTCCCAGTGATTCACTTTGGAAGTAGACATACTGATTATCTCCCTGGGGGCCACCATTTAGCCCACTGCAGGTTCTCTGCATAAAGAAATCGGAAAAGCAAAGGTTCTCACCCCCTCCCAGCTCCACTGTCCCAGCAGGCATGCAATAAAGAGAGGATTATGTGGTATGATTACTACTGCAGCTCAGAGGGTGGAAATGATTTTTAAAACACTGTTGTATGATCTTTACCCCAAATTTTCAAAATGCAACTGTGCCTATAGTAAGAAAAAAATACAAAAGAGAATAAGGTGGAAATAAAGGGGCGATTTGCCTGTCTTAATTATTCATTTTGTTTAGAGACATGGTCTCGCTCTGTCACCCAGGCTGGAGTACAGTGACGTGATCATAGCTCACTGCAGCCATGAACTCCTGGACTCAAGCGATCCTCCCACCTCAGCCTCCAGAGCAGCTGGGACTGCAGGCTCATGCCACCATTTTTATTTAGTTCTTTTTAATTATTAATATCATTTGTAGAGACAGAGCCTCACTATGTTTCCCAGGTAGTCTCGAACTCCTGGCCTCAATCAGTCTTCCCACCTCATCCTCCCAAAGTGCTGGGACTAAAGGCTTGAGCCACCACGTCTGCCCTGCAATTTTTCTTTAACTCTAACCTTACTTTATAAGACGTGACCACTGTGGGCAGTTTGCACGATCTTCATAAATTTTGAAAGCATGCCCTTGTTTTGGCTCAGAGTGGTAGAAAGTTGGGGGTGTTATAATACATCCCGACAGCTCTCAGTCCCACCTCATTCTTCCTAATGACTTCCAGCACCGCATCATACTTAACCTGTCTTCTACTGGCCAACATTTCAGTTAACTCGAGGATTTTGCCCTTATAACATCTATAGTCTTTGGCATGTGGCCAAGAATACTTGTAGGATAAATTCCTAGAAGTGGAATTTCTCGGTCAGAGGAGGTGTGCTTTTTTTTTTATTTTTGAGACAATCTCGCTCTATTGCCCAGGCTAGAGTGATCTCGGCTCACTGCAACCTCTGCTTCCTGGGCTCAAGCCATCCTCCTGCCTCAGCCTTCTAAATAGCTGGGTCTACAAGCATACACCACCACATCCGGCTAATTTTTTTGTATTTTTTTAGTAGAGACTGGCTTTCACCATGTTGCTTGGGCTGGTCTTGAACTCCTGGGCTCAAGCCATCCTCCTGCCTCAGCCTCCCAAAGTGCTGGGATTCCAGGTGTGAGCCCCCACTCCCGGCCAAGAGGTGTGCATTTTAAATTTCTACAGCTATTGCCCAGGGCCTTCAAAAGGTTATCATTCACATGCACATCAAGGGTATACCTGTAGAGGCAGGGCTCAGTGGTTCACGCCTATAATCCCAGCACTTTGAGAGGCTGAGGTGGGAAGATGGCTTGAGGTCAGGAGTTCAAGACCAGCCTGAGCAACATGGCAAAACCCTGTCTCTACAAAAAAATACAAAAATTAGCCAGACATCACGACACATGCCTGTAGTCCCAGTTACTTGGGGGGCTGAGGCAGGAGGATTGCTTGAGCCCAGGAGGTCAAGGCTGCAGTGAGCTGTCATTGCACCACTGCACCTCAGCCTGGGTGACAAAGTAAGACCCTATCCTCCCCACAAAAAACAAAAAACCCTATGCCTGTAAGGGTGCTGTTTCTTATACCCTTTTCTACTCCAGCAAGAATTCAGTGTGTCAGGAGAAGCAAATCCCAAATGAGGTAAGTGGATTTTCAATGTGGGCCGGGGCCAAGGTGGACATGGGTTCTGAGGTCGTCCCTGTAGCTGTCTGAGCAGATAAGCTATTTAGAGCTCTTGTTAGTGTGGGTTTTATTAACAAAGGCAGAGTTTGGGGAGGTGAGCCAGAACCGTGCAGCAGCGAGAAGTGTTTTGCAAGTCAGTATTTATTTCTTTAGTGCAGTTAGAACTTAAATATGGCCAAAACATATTCTTCTTTTAATTTACACAAACAAATATGTTCCCAGGCTGACACCTCCCGTGCCAAGTTTCCAGGGGAAACAACATTCTACTGTGAGATTATAAACCACTAGAGAAAAGACGAGAATGGAAAAGCCGCCGAGAATCAGCTCTACATGCCCAGAACTGGGCTGCTAAGAGGTGTCTTTTTTTTTTTTTTCATTGCAGATAAACCTGCCAGTAATTTTAGCAAACGAAACGTGGAACGTGTCAAGGCCAGAGGATGGAGAAGGCTCCAGCTTTGATAAAAGGAGGGCTGCTTGGCTTGGAATCCTCTCTCCTGCCAGTTGGGAGATGCAAAGATGTTTCCAGAGCGGGGCTGATGAATTGAGGGGAGAGAAATGAGCCCAGTATGAGTTGCCTTTCAGGGCCGAGCGCGTATAAAACCAAGCAACTTGGAACCGCTCCAAGAGAGGGGATTAAGGCAACATGTTATTCTGAGTGATTGCTTAATTTATTGAGCTGCGGCTGGCTCTGTAATGAAATACAGCCCTTGTAACTGATAACCTCCTGCTGCAATTGAACTTGTACAATTAAGGAGTATTTTCTGAGTTTCTCTGGAATGGCTCCGAGTTTTTAGCCTCTGTGGTAGGGTGCTTCTGAACATTTGTTTTCCAATTTTTTTTTTTTTTTTTTAAGTATCAGGCTGATGTTAATAAGCAAGCAGCATTTTATTGAGTGCTTTGTGGGAACCAGGACTTTATATACTTTATGTCTAATCCTGACAATATCCCGTGAAATAACCCTTATTATTCCCTATTTTACAGATGTGAAGCCACGAGACGTTCGGTAATCTTCTACAGCAGTGCTGTCCAAGACAGTAGCTATTATGGCCCCTTGTGACTACTGGTGTGTAAATTAGTTAAAATTAAATAAATTTTAAAGTTTACTCCCTAGGCTGCGCTAGCAATGAGTTCAAGTGCCCGACAGTCCTGTGTGGCTGAAGGTTACCACGCTGGACAGTGCGGATATAGACCATTTGAAGGCTGTACAAGTGCTGCCGATTAGCACTAATTCAGATATCCTTTCTTTGAGATGGAGTCTCGTTCTGTCGTCCAGGCTGGAGTACAATGGCACAATCTCAACTCACTACAACCTCTGCCTCCTGGATTCAAGCGATTCTCCTGCCTCAGCCTCCTGAGTAGCTGGGACTACAGGTGCATGCCACCACGCCCAGCTAATTTTTGTATTTTTAATAGAGATTCACTGGCCAGGCTGGTCTCAAACTCCTGACCTCAGAGGATCTATCTGCTTCAACTTCCCAAAGTGCTGGGATTATAGGCGTGAGCCCACGCCCGTCAGGTTCAGATTTCATAGCTAGAACCTGGCAGTGCCAGAATTCAAGCTTACGTTAATGGGCTTTGAAGACAGAATTCATCTGCTAGGCCAAGAACCAAGGAACAGAGCAGGATTCTAACCCCTACCTACACAGTAGAATTATCTGCAATTCTTTTTTTTTTTTGGAGACAGAGTCTAGCTCCATTACCCAGGCTGGAGTGCAGTGGCTCGATCTCAGCTCAATGCAACCTCTACCTTCTGGGTTCAAGTGATTCTCCTGTCCCAGCCTCCCAAGTAGCTGGGATTTTAGGTGCCTGCCACCATGCCCAGCTAATTTTTGTATCTTTAGTAGAGACAGTGTTTTGCCAGGTTGGCCAGGCTGGTCTCAAACTCCTTACCCCAGGTGATCTGCCTGCCTTGACCTCCCAAAGTGCTGGAATTACAGGCGTGAGCCACCATGCCTGGCCTACCTGCAATTCTTTAAAAAAAAAGAATGACGGTAGTGTCCCAGGCCCAGAGAATCTGACTTCACTGTGATTAAGGTGGGTGGGGACAGGCATCAGAGAGTTTTTATACTTCCCCATGTGATGCCACTGTGCGGCCAGGATGGTGAGCAGCGAGGTGTGAGGACCCACACAGAGGACACTGGAAGCAGCTGGTTCATCTACTATGAGAACGCAGATACCCATGTAAGATCACAGAAACAAGGTGAAAAACCTGTAGCCCCAAATTGGAATTGGAAACATCAGTACGAATTTGTGCTATATTTTTGTCTTACAAAGTAAAGCAGGTGTTTGCTAGCTCTGTCCACAGCAAAGTTTAGAAGTAATGAGCCATCCAGTAGCAGTGAACACCTAGCAGCCAGGTTATGGTCTCTAAATACCACTTCAAACTAGAGAGGGCATGGAGACATGATCAATTCTAGGTCAGAGGCAAGAAAAAAAGTAAACGGGAGCATGGAACATCTGGTCATTCCTTGCTTCCTTCATAGCAAGAAAGCTGTCAATGATCTTCAGCGTCATATTGAGAAGGATGCAGGAGACAATGTGGAGAGACTCCCAAGGGAAGCATTTGAGCATCATTAAGAATAATGACTGTTGGTCATGTGCGGTGACTCACGCCTGTAATCCCAGCACTTTGGGAAGCCAAGGTGGGCAGATCACTTGAAGTCAGGAGTTCGAGACCAGCCTGACCAATATAGTGAAACCATGTCTCTACCAAAAATACAAAAAATTAGCCATGTGTGGTGGTGTGCACATATAATCCCAGCTACTTGGGAAGCTGAGGCAGGAGAATCGCTTGAACCTGAAAGGCAGAAGTTGCAGTGAGCCAGGATTGTGCTACTTCACTCCAGCCTGAGTGACAGAGTGAGACTCTTTGTCTCAAAAAAAAAAAAAAAAAAGAATAATGACTGTAATGGATTGAAACATGTCCAAATCTAGGAGTTGACAATGATACTTTAAAAGAGCTGGGCATGGTGGCTCAGGCCTGTAATCCCAGCACTTTGGGAGGCCGAGGAGGGAGGATCACAAGATTAAGAGATCAAGACCATCCCGGCCAACATGGTGAAACACCGTTTCTACTACAAATACAAAAATTAGCGGGGCATGGTGGTGCACAGCTGTAGTCTCAGCTACTTGGGAGGCTAAGGCACTAGAATTGCTTGAACCCAGGAGGCAGAGGTTGTAGTGAGCCAAGGACATGCCACTGCACTCCAGCCAGGTGACAGAGTGAGACTCTTTGTCTCAAAAAAAGAAAAGAAAAGAAAAGAAAAATTCATTTGTCACCTTTGGAGGATATTGGAAAACCAACTCATTTTGAAAACTGTCAAAGAAAGGGAAAGAAACATTTATCCTTTCTGGTACAAACCATTCTTTTTGGCAGCCAAATCGTTGAGAAGTTTATATCTTTTATAGACCTATTTCTATTACCAAAGACAGAATCATAGAATCAGTATGCCACCATGTTGTAATCTCTAATGAAATAATGCGCCAGGTGTCGTGGCTCATGCTTGCAATCCCAGCACTTTCAGAGGTCGAGGTGGAGGACTGCTTGAGGCCAGAAGTTCAAGACAGGCCTGGGCAACATAACAAGACCCTGTCTCTGCAAAAAGAAAAAAAAAATTATCCAGATATGGCCATGTACCTGCAGTCCCAGCTAAGGTGGGAGGATCCCTTGAGCCCGGGAGGTCAAGGCCACAGAGAGCTATGATTGTACCACTGCACTCTAACCTAGGTGACAAGAACAAGACCTCAAAAAAAAGAAAGAAACTGCAGAGCTAGACAATGATCATCAACAATAGCTGCTAACATCACAAAGAGGAACAACCAGATATTATGTGCCTTTGAACGGAAGCACATAACCCCCAACAGGAAGTAGTCATACCAAAAAAAAAAAAAAAAATCAAACATTGATCTAAGTGAGCTTCTACAGACTCACTTCTAGACCTAACTACTAATTTCTAAGAAATATAGCGGGAAGAGGAACACATAACATTTCTATGGAGATGCTATAACCAAGGTTCAGACCACAGGAAACCAACAGAACGACAGTACTGCGTCCACCTACTGCTGGCATCTCTGGGACAAGCCTGAGTAGTAGTAGGCTTGAGATAGATCTTCACACATCCCACCCCCGTCTCCATGGTAACCAGTGGGGAGGAAAAGGCGCATCCACAAAGTTCTGGTCCCCATAAGGGTGAGGCCAGGCCTCCAATGTCCTGTGCCAGGCCCTGTGCTGCTGCTGTCTTGGGAGAACTCCCATAAGAGCTGCCTCCCTCCATCCCTTCCCCATCACCCCGGCCCTCCCTCTGTGCCCCCTGAAGCAGCAGGGCCAGTCAGTGGAGAGAATAGGACCCTGAATCAGATCCAGGTTCAAATTCTGACTTCACCACTTAATTGCAGGATCAGTAACCTCCCTGAGCCTCATTTTTTCATCTATAAAATGGGCATACAGTTTTATTTAATGTTAAAAGAAAGAAAGGGGCTGGGCGTGGTGGCTCAAGCCTGTAATCCCAGCACTTTGGGAGGCCAAGGCGGGTGGATCATGAGATCAAGAGATCGAGACCATCCTGGTCAACATAGTGAAACCCCGTCTCTACTAAAAATACAAAAAAATTAGCTGGGCATGGTGGCGCGTGCCTGTAATCCCAGCTACTCAGGAGGCTGAGGCAGGAGAATTGCCTGAACCCAGGAGGCGGAGGTTGCGGTGAGCCAAGATTGAGCCATTGCACTCCAGCCTGGGTAACAAGAGTGAAACTTTGTCTCAAAAAAAAAAAAAAGAAAAAAAGGGCAGGGGGGCTGGGCATGGTGGCTCATTCCTATAATGTCAGCACTTTGGGAGGCTGAAGCAGGAGGATCGCTTGAGCCCAGGAGTTTTAGACCAGCCTGGACAACATAGTGAGACCTCATCTCTACAAAAAATTTTTTAAAAATAGGCCAGGTGCTGTGGCTCATGCCTGTAATCCCAGCTGAGATGGGCAGACTGCTTAAGCTCAGGAGTTCAAGACCGCCTGGGCAACAGGGCAAAGCCTTGTGTCTACTAAAAATACAAAAACTAGTGGGGAATGGGGGTGCATGCCTGTAGTCCCAGCTGCTCGGGAGACTAAGGTAGGAGGATCACCTGAACCCTGGAGGTCGAGGCTGCAGTGAACTGTGATTGCACCACAGCACTCCAGCCTGGAGGACAGATGAGACCCTGTTTCAAAATAAGATAATAAAAAGAATATATAAGGAGGGCGTAATGTGACCTTTGTTCAGTTAGTTGCTCAACAAATCTTTATTATGAATGGACAGTGACAAAAAAGGATCTAATCTCCAACTCATGGAACTCGACTCAGGGGTGAAAAGCAGTCTCCATAGAGCGAAGTGCTGTGACAACATCCATGTATGTCAGGATGCTTACCCATAGCCCACTTTTTAAAACAATTGGCAGTCGAAACTCCCAGTCATACTTTTCATTACCCAGAACATCCATACCTTCCAACTACTGAGTATCTAGCTATGGCAAACACACAGGATCATTTCATTTAGTGTTCACATTGATTGATTGATTGAGATGGAGTCTTTCTGTGCTGCCCAGGCTGGAGTGCAGTGGCATGATCTCAACTCACTGCAACCTCTGTCTCCCATCAAGTGATTCTCCTAACTCGGCCTTCTGAGTAGCTAGGATTAAAGGAACACACCACCATGCCCAGCTAAATTTTGTATTTTTTTTTTTTTTTTTTGAGATGGAGTTTCGCTGTTGTTACCCAGACTGGAGTGCAATGGCACGATCTCGGCTTACCGCAACCTCTGCCTCTTGGGTTCAGGCAATTCTCCTCCCTCAGCCTCCTGAGTAGTTGGGATTACAGGCGCACACCACCATGCCCAGCTAATTTTTGTATTTTTAGTAGAGACGGGGTTTCACCTTGTTGACCAGGATGGTCTCGATCTCTTGACCTCGTGATCCACCTGCCTTGGCCTCCCAAAGTGCTGGGATTATAGGCGTGAGCCACCATGCCCGGCCAACTTTTTTATTTTTAGTAGAGACGAGGTTTCACCATGTTGGCCAGGCTGGTCTCAAACTCCTGGCCTCAAGTGATCCTTCCACCTTGGCCTCTCAAAGTCCTGCGATTACAGGCGTGGGCCACTGCACCTGGACTAGTGCTTACATTTCTATGAGCTAAGTCATGTTATTTCCATCTTGTGGAGGAAGAAGCTTAGACACAAGTGAGATAGGTTGCCCAAGGCCACACTACTGGTATGAGGCCCCTGTCTTCTGTGCTCAGCGCTCTGTGCACTGATGAAGCTTTGAAATGCCAAAGCAGGGCTCAGAAATCAGTGCTGCCAGGAGACTGAAAAGCTCTCCAGACCATTTTCCAGATGAAGAAACAGTGGCCCAGAGAGGCCAAGTAACTTGACTGGGGCCACATCGCAAATTGCTGGCTAAGCCTGTCTGTGCTCATGCTGCTTGGGGAGATGGTGCAGGGAAGCCCTATTCGGGTCCATGTAATGAATACTGTCCCAAAGCAGGGTGGCCAGCCATCCCTTGTGCCTAGGACTAGGAGGTTTTTGGGACTGGAGACATGAGGTGCTAAAACCAGGAAAACCTTGGGCCAACTGGGATTAGCTGGGCATTCCACCCCACAGACAATAAGGTGTCTAAATTGTCATTTCCAGGAAATGAGGCTTTGGGATGAAGCTGGCTGACAACAACCATCAAGACCCCATTGAAGGACTAGGGTTTTGTGTCTCCGATACCCTGGAGGTTCCGCCCACATGTCATCTCAGTGGCCTCTGCAGGGGTCCATGGCTTGGCATCCTATTCTACCCCCAAAGCAACTTAAGTGCTAGAAATCATAAACCTAATTGTCCCATGCCCCAGTATGCAAACCTAAATGGTTTCTCATTTTCCCCCCGTTGCCTTAGGACAAACTATATAAACTTTGCTGGCCCAGGAGACCCTTGGTGCACTTGCCTCTGTACACCTGGTCCAGTCTCTCTCTGCAATCCACCCCACCTCACCCCTACGAAATTCTAAGCAAGGACAAGATAAGATTTCTCACTGCACCCTCCCTTCACCCACGTAACCCTTTTCTTAGCATCCCACCCTTTCTTCTGTGACATCAGTGCAAATGTAATCACACAGCTATTTGTATAATTAGCTGATTATTAATATCTAGCCTCCCCCCCCCCCGGCTAGACTGTCAGCCCACAGGGGCAGGGGTGGGTGTGTGACGTTCACTGTTTTGTAGCCTGTCTCAGTGGAGACACATGAATGACACTCAAAAGTCATTGAATGGACCAGGCATGTGGCTCACACTTGTAATCCCAGCACTTTGGAAGGCCGAGGCAGGTGGATCATCTGAGGTCATGAGTTTGAGACCAGTCTGACCAACATAGCAAAACCCTGTTTCTACTAAAAATACAAAAAATTAGCTGGATGTGGTGGTGCATGCCTGCAGTCCCAGCTACTGGGGAGGCTGAGGCTGCAGTGAGCTCAGATTGTGCTACTGCACTCCAGCTTGGGTGACAGAGCGAATCTCCATCTTAAAAAAAAAAAAATGGGGAGGGTGGGGGGAAGTCACTGAATGGTCCCACAAAAAAACTGCTATCATCTCCGACTGTGCCTCCTTCTGAAATCACAGAAACCCTCTATAGCCATCTGGATCTCCACTTCCCATTTCAGTCAGGCTGCTATCCATGATGTCGCAGGATGGAAGATGACCCCAGAAAAAGACTGGCAAAGAGACAGGCTCCTGAAGGAGGACGTGGCAGGCAGGACTGGTGTGTTTTCAATTATTCTACCTGTTCCGACCACACTTTCCTAGTTCTGCTCACACCCCTGCTTCAGCAGTAGCTGAGGACGACAGAAAAACATCAGCCCCAGAGTCTGAGACAAGATATGTCACTGGTTCCCTCTTTGCTGGTAATTAATGCTGAAAAGTTTCATTACTTACCTTGGCAGCAAAGGTACTAATACAAACGCACAGCCTGATTATTTGGCTGCTAACTCCCTTCTTGGTGTTTTCCTTCTCCTTTCCTTAAATTAATTCCAGAGTTCTTCCAGATTTCTCGTTGCTAAGCTATAAAGTTCCAGGTTTCCGCAGCATGGCTGCTAACTGGCAGGGAGCTCCCAGGCAGCTCCAATCAGAACCAGGTTGTTGAAAGGAGCGTCCACACTACAGCTCGCTCAGAGGTTTTGGAATGTTCTCGCTGACGTTATGAACCGCAAAGGTCTTTGCGTAACTCTGCAGAACCTGTTTTCTTGATTTGGCTGTTGGGGGACACCAGAGGCCTTGGAATTTCCCTAGGAGGCATGGGGAGTCCCTGGGTCTCCTGGTTAGGATCAGTGACAGGGATGCTCAGAGCCCATTCATGCTGGCCACAGACAATGTGATCCCTAAAACTGTTGCAGAAAAGGTCCCTCAAGTCCCCCAGGACTGACCTCTTCCACCCATCTCCCAAGCATGCTGACAGACTATCTGGAGGAGGCTGAGGACATCTCTGAACTTGGGATTTTGGGGTGAAGGCCACATTTGTAAAGGACTTTAAACAACCAAACGGAGGGCCATTTGGTGACCTGATACCTCCAGAATCATAATGAAAACCATCACTATGAATTGAGTTTCTACTGTACGCCACAAACCACATTTCCACATGTTCCCAACCGAAACTCCCATCGGACCGGCTGGGAACCTGTCAGCAGCTGCACTGTTGGTTCTACTTGTCTGCGGCCATCTTCCAGGAGCAGAAAGTCATGTGACCCAGGCCTGGCTACTGTGATTGGCTCTGTGATGAGCACCTGACCAAGCTGAGCCAATCAGAATCTTCTCAAGACTCCTGCTAGATAAGAAAAGACTCCCCAGCCCCACCATTGCTGAGCTGGTGCCCACTGGGAACACACATGGACGGTGCCAGAGAAATATAAGAAGCCCTCCAAGATACGGAGCCCCTGTGACAATGCTTAAGCCTCAGATGCAGCTCTAGGGAAGCCAGATCTACTTCCTGGATTTGACAGTTACCGGAATAGTAAATTCTTTTTTTGCTTAAGCCAGTTTACCTGTGTCTGTTGCTTCCTGCTGACAGAGTGGAAGTAAACGATTACATTGCTTCCCTGCGTGGTGCCTTGACTCTAAGGCAGGCAGTTTGCTTATTATATTCCTGCATAGGGTCTTCACAATTACGGAGTGAGGCACCCCATTTTGCACATGGGGAAACTGAGGCCCAGAAAGGTGAGGGAGGCTTGTCCAGGTAACATGCTCACTATGTGCTCAGGATTTCAAACCTGGGCTAATTCTTCAGTGTCTCTGTGGCTCCTCAAATTCAACTGACCAAAACTGAATTCAAGAGCCTCCCCTGAAACTGATTTCCTTCCGACATCCCTCATCTGCCACTCTAGAGATGCTAACTAGAAACTAGGTATCTGCTGGGGACGGTGGCTCATGCCTGTACTAGCACTTTGGAAGGCTAAGTAAGGCAGGTGGATCATGAAGTCACAAATTCGAGACCAGCCTGGCCAACATAGTGAAACCCTGTCTCTACTAAAAATACAAAAATTAGCTGGGTGTGGTGCATGTGCCTGTAGTCCCAGCCACTCCAGAGGCTGAGGTGGAGGTTGCAGTGAGCTGACACCACACCATTCCATCACTGCACTCCAGCCTGGGCAAGAGAGTGAGACTCTGCCTCATTAAAACAAAAAGAAAAAAGAAAGAAACCAGGTACCACCTCTGACTCCTCCAGGTCCCCTCTCTCCCACATCTCAACCTAAGTCCTGCCCATCGATTCCCTTGGCGGCCCTGGAAGCAGCTTCTTTCCCTGTCTCATCCATGTCCCCACCCATAACCAGGCTGCCCTCACTTCTCCCTGGCCTTCTAGAAATGCCTCTCTCCTAGTTCTCCTGTAGTCACTCTTGCCCCTCTCCAGTCTAGCTCCCCGTCACACTCAGAGGAACTGTCTCAAAATGCAAATCTGATCACACTGCCTTGTTGGGGCAGGTTGGGTTTTATTATTATTATTATTGTTATTATTACTGAGAGGGAGTCTTGATCTTGCTCTGTTGCCCAGGCTGGAGTGCAGTGACGAGATCTCAGCTCACTATAACCTCTGCCTCCTGGCTTTAAGCGATTCTCCTGCCTCAGCCTCCTGAGTAGCTGGCATTACAGGTACCTGCCACCACACCCGGCTAATTTTGTCTGTATTTTAGTAGAAATGGGGTTTCACTATGTAGGTCAAGCTGGTCTCAGAACTCCTGACTTCAAATGATCTGCCCACCTTGGCCTCCCAAAGTGCTGAGATTACAGGCATGAGCCACTGCACCTGGCCTATTGTTATTTTTTGAGACAGAGTCTCACTTTGTCACCTAGGCTGGAATGGAATGGCACAGTTGTGGCTCACTGCGGCCTCAAACTCCTGGGTTCAAGCAGCCCTTCTGCCTCAGCTTCCCGAGTAGCTTGGACCACGCCTGGCTACTTTTTGAATTTTTATTTTTATAGAGATAAGACCTCACTCTGTTGCCCAGGCTGGTCTCAAACTCCTGACCTCAAGAGATCCTCCCACCTTTACTTCTCAAAGTGTTGAGATAACAGATGTGAGCTACTGTGTCCAGCCTGGTTGGGTTTCAGGATGTGAAGGCACACATTTGCCTCTGGGGATGTTTGAGAATCCTGCAGTCAACCCCTTGGTCCCACCCAGGTTTCAGTCACAAAGTCTTCAAGCCCAAGAGCTGGCAGGGACACAGCTCCCTGCATCCTCAGCCACGCCACTGTTTATTCTGAAAATATTCACTAGTGTCTCCCAGGCACTGTTCCCTGTGCTGGAGCTACAGAGGTGGCAAGAGCAGCAGGTACACATGCTCACGGTGTGCTGCAGCAGGACTGTTTCAGGCCAGCCTAGGCAACGCAGTGAGACCCCCATCTCTTAAAAAGAAAATGTTTTAAATTAGTCAAGCATGGTGACATACACCTGTAGTCCCAGCTATTTGGGAGGCTGAGGCAGGAGGCTCCTTGAGCCCAGGAGTTCAAGGCTGCAGTGAGCTGTGATCGCAAGGTGTTGGCAGGACCCTGCCAACACCTTGATCTCAGAGTTCTGGCCTCCAGAACTGTGAAAAGATACATTTCTATTGTTTTGCCTCAAGGGATTGGTGACAGTTGATCATGGCAACCCTAAGTGGATCATGGCAGCCCTAAGATGGCAGTTGATCATAGAGCCAGGCCCTGGGCTCTGTGCCTCGAAACCTCAACTCATCCACTCCCCCAGCTGCCTATAAAGCAGTGACTATTACTGATCCCATTTTACAGATGAGTAAAAAAATGTCCCTGTTCTCATGAAGCTTATATTCCAGTGAGGGAGACCAACACACACACATTGACATGATTCAGAGAGCGATGGGACCAACCGTGAATCTGGACCCTGAGTCCAGAGGCTTCTGGATGCCTCCAGCTTGACTCAGATCTGACGTGCGCAAGGCCCAGGGTAAGGGTAGAAATGGAGGCTCGTGTATGGATGCCTGTGTGCTGATGAGCTGCAAATCGAGGTAACGCACCATGTGCATAAACATGTCTATCCTCCCTCTTTGACAAACACACCTTCACTACCACCTGGAAGGCTGGGTCTTGTTTTTGTTTGTTTTGAGACAGAGTCTCTCTGTGTTGCCCAGACTGGAGTGCAGTGGCACGATCTTGGTTCACTGCAACCTCTGCCTCCCAGGTTCAAGCAGTTCTCCTGCCTCAACCTACCAAGTAGGTGGGATTACAGGCACCTGCCACCATGCCTGGCTAATTTTTGTATTTTTAGTAGAGATGGGGTTTTGCCATGTTGGCCAGGCTGGTCTCAAACTCTTTACCTCAGGTGGTACACCTGCCTCAGCCTCCCAAAGTGTTGGGACTACAGGCGTGAGTCACCATGTCTGGCCAGCTACCACGCCCAGCTGGAAGGCTGGGTCTGAATTGAAAATTCCTCCAGACTCCTTGGAATTCTGCAGACCACACCTTCTCCATCCTGGACCTCCAGCAGCCCAGTACACAAGGAAGCACTCCCATCTCAGAGTCCAAGTACTTTCTGGAGCCCCGTAATCTGCCATCCTTTAGGCCCACGCTGGTGAGCGTGGACATTCTGAGTAGGGCAGATTCAAGACAAAGCCTTTGGTGTGAGGTTAAGTGCTGCTGAGGCAAAGAATCCCAGGGTCCTGGGTTCCAGTACATGATTCAGAAGTGAGGAGGGTACGGGTATCAGGTGGGCACATCACTCTGGGTCCACAGTTCCTTGCCCTGTGGGGCAGGGCCTGGCTGCAGGAGGATTAGCGTGGATCACCCTCCAGATCACAGGGCCATGCTTGCCCGAGTCTGAAGACAGCACTGCTCATGGCCTTCCGGTTTATGTTGCAGAATTTCTGCGCTCTGCACCCTTGCTTTTCTCCCATGCCCATTCTCTGCCTCTGCCTTACCTTCTGTGCTGGCTGAAATAGTGTCCCTGTAAAATTCAGGCCCACTCAGAACCTCAGAATGTGGCCTTATTGGAAATACAGTCTCTGCAGATGTAATCAAACTAAGATGAGGTCACATTGGATTCAGGTGGGCTCTAAGTCCCTTGAGCAGGGCCCTCATAAGAAGAGAATGCCAGGTACAGAGGCTCACATCTATAATCCCAGCACCTTGGGAGACCAAGGTGGGAGTCTCCCAAGGTGGGAGGACTGTTTGAGGCCAGGAGTTTGAGACCAGCCTGGGCAACGCAGTGAGACTCCGATCTCTAAAAAAAGAAAAACATTTAAATTAGCCGAGGATGGTGACACACACCTGTAATCCCAGCTACTTGGGAGACTGAGGCAGGAGGCTCCTTGAGCCCAGGAGTTCAAGGCTGCAGTGAGCTGTGATCACACCACTGCATTCCAGCCTGGGTGACAGAGACCGACCCTGTCTCAATGAAAAAAGAAAAAGAGCAGAGAATGCTCAGAGATAACACACAGAGAAGCCCATGAGAAGAAAGAAACTAGAGTGATGCAACTACATTCCAAAGAACAGCCAGGATGGCCAACCGCCGGGAGCCAGGAAAAGGCAAGAATGAATTATTCCCTAGAGCCTGCAGTGGAAGCAGGGCCCTGCCAACACCTTGATCTCAGAGTTCTGGCCTCCAGAACTGTGAAAGGATGAATTTCTGTTGTTTTGCCTCAAGGGGTGGTGACAGTTGATTAAAGCAGCCCTAAGAAAAAAATCTACCTTTGCAGCCTCTCCCCACCTCTTCCCTCTCCCCATCTCTTGCACACCCAGTGTCAGGCTGGTGCAGAAAAACATGTCACTAGCAGGTGGCAGTGGTCCCCAAGCCCTCACAACTCACCTGGCCAACCCAGAGCCAAAAGCTCTTCAGTGCCACCTTTTCCGTGATCGCCTCCAGCCTCACCCATGGCAGCCCCAGACACAGGCTCTGGCTCCAGGGAGTATAGCCAGGTGTCTGAAGTAGGACCTGGGAGGAGGTGGGCTCTACTTTGCAGGGGCCAGCAGGGCTGCCCCTCACAGCTGCTCACCCTGGCTGCACCTGGCCCCAGCTTGTAGGGATGTGTACTGGCAAACTTTTGCTGCTGAACTCTGCAGTGGCAAGCTTGGCTGTTTGTCACAGAGTTTGGTGGCATTTAACGAAGGCTGTGGATGGGAGTGCATGTGTGAGTGAGAGGAGGGTGTTGGCACAAGCTTGCATATTTCCCAAACACAAAGCCTGAAGCAGAATTACCTGACACTCACCCCACTACTGCTCTTCCTACACAAACACAGATGACGAAAAAGTAAGCTGAGTGAGAGGTCAGGTCTCTTTAGATATGAAGGGTGTTTGAATTCAACAGCAAAGAGCTACTGTTTATTTTAAACGCCGTGAAATAAGATGACTTATCATCGACAGGTAAGTCAGCAGGCTACATGTTTGAACATCAAAAGCCATTTGTCAGTCCATGCATTCATTTGTCTACCTATCCATCCATCCATCCATTTATCTATCCATTCATCAATCTACCTACCCATCCATCATCCACTCACCTATCCATCCATCTATCCATCCATCCACCTGTCCATC